TACATGGAAATGATGAGATTTGAAGTAAGTATAAATGTAAAAAAAAATATTACGATTTTTTTAAAACTTAAATATGAAATAATATCAAAATGAGTGAAACGTATGGAGATAACAGTATTCAAGATCAAATGTCCATAAAACAATACAAAACTGGAGCAGAGCAAACACAGATCTCCAAAAACATCAGAAGTAGGATCAGGTTTTGATTGTTTTGAACATATTTTATAGAGAACAAGGGATTGTTTTATGGACATTAAATTTTGATCTTGAATACTGTTCGTTATCTCCAAATTTTTTCATTCGAAGACTTGACATGCAGATGGAATGTTTCAAAAATTGAACAGTTATCAAATTCGAGACAGCACACTCTATGATAGAATCAGTTATGGCTGTGTGGCAACTGTTTGATTCCTTTGAGGCTTTGAGGTTGATTTCGCAGAGGTTTCCCATTGATATTTTAACGACACGTAGGGTTTGTAGCCAAACCATCGGAAGGTAGAATTAATTGTTTGAAGATCGTAATCTTGTCGTAGGCCCAGGCATGATGAATCTGACGCACTTTATAGTAATACGTCACGAATAATATTTTTTATAATATGATAATTTTTTTAAGTGATAATTTTTTAAAAAAGTATCTTTGGATGAGAGATTCACTCCCATATTTTACTACAAAAGAGAAGATCTAGCAGGAAGAATAATATAGCATCAAAGTTTTTCTAAAACTTTACATGGGTAAAACAAATTATCAAAAGTTCAAAATCAATAATTCTTTCATTTTTAAGCATGCTTTTCTAAACTTTTCAATAAATACAGCTGCATGTTGCTAAATTGACTAATCGTATTACATTTCATCACAATACATAAAATAATAGCAGTATTTTGGTAAAATTTGTATTTAATCCCCCCCCTTGTCTTTCTTAAACTTTTATACTAGGTGTCTGTGTGCTGATGATAATAGTCAACCAGGAAGCACGCCTGAGATGTACTTTTTTTTTAGCTCACCTGAGCCGAAGGCTCAAGTGAGCTTTTCTGATCACATTTTGTCCGGCGTCCGTCTGTCTGTAAATTTTAACCAAACTTGCCACAAAGCATCCTGGGGTAAAGGGGATTCAAGTTTGTTCAAATGAAGGACAACGCCTTCATTCAAGGGGAGATAATTGTGAATTAATGAAAATTTAATGGTATTTTTTAAAAATCTTCTTCTCAAGAACCACTGTGCTAGGAAAGATGAAACTCATGGGGAAACATGCTCAGGTAGTGTAGATTCAATTTTGTTTAAATCAAGACCCCCGGGGGTAGGGTGGGGCCATAATGGCCGACCAAAATTTTACATAGAAATACGAGGGGTGATCAAAAAGTTCGCAAACGATCTCTATATCTACAAAACCACAATTCAGATTAGAATGAAATTCGGTACACACATAGCCATACACAAGGTCTATAAATAGCATATGCTGAATAAAGTTTCTCTCCTTCTTGTTTGTGAAGTCACAATGTGAAAATGACGTCACTATTTAGGTCACTTGTGACGAAAAATGGTTGTCTCAGTCGAACTCGTTCAACAAACGACTGTACAATTTATTGTAATATCTTAGAAATCCCTCTACAGTATCATATGATAATTTGTACACAGTTTATTGAGATAAATGGGTTCCTATAAATTCAATTAATGATTGGATTAATCGTTTTAGTGAAGGAAGGCTGATGGTTAAAAATGGTACTTGTCATCTTGCCCAGTGAAAGCAAGTCTGAAAAGATATGTATTTTTAATTAAGCAATTAATTTGCTATCAAAGACCTCCAATTAGCACTTTGAAAAATAGTTGAATATTTGAACAATGATATAAGTATTAAATACCTAAGATATTGTTTACTTTAGATTTTAAACATATTAGAAATGGTAAAAAGGATGCACCCATTCTCTATCCACCTTGAATAAAGGTCTCTCCTGAGACAGAAGATTTGTGTTTTAATGGTCGCCATGCTTATTTTTGGAAAGGATGTTATTATTCACCCATTCTGTTGCCGAGATATGACCATTTCTGACAAATTAACTGTTCTTGTCATAAAAATTAACTCACATGGAAAGAAATATAAAACTCGGAAAAATCTTTTAACTTTTGTGACAGAACGCTACGGAGAGGGTCACGTGACCGCCAATATCACGTGATTCGCGCATGCGCAGAACGGTGGTTGATGTGCATTAAAATCGGGGAGGATTAATTTAAAATAATATAATCAACATTAAAACCAAATATTGTTTCTTGTATGGAAGTTATTCAATTAGTTTGCGAACTTTTTGATCACCCCTCGTATATAGGAAAAATCTTTAAGAATCTTCTTCTCAAGAATAGCAAAGCCATAATTGATCATATTTATATGGAAGCATCCTCAGGTAGTGTAGATTCAATTTTGTTCAAATCATGACCCCCGGAGGTAGGGCGGCCGGGGCCAAAATGGCCGAGCAAAGTTTACATAGAAATTTATTGGAGAAATCTTTAAAAGTCTACTTCTTAAGAATAGCGAAGCCATAATTGATCACATTTATATGGAATCATCCTCAGGTAGTGTAGATTCAAGTTTGTTCAAATCATGACCCCCAGGGGTAGGGCGGGGCCAAAATGGCCGACCAAAGTTTTACATAGAGATATATAGGAAAATTCTTTTAAAATTTTCTTCTCAAGAATAGCAAAGTCATGTAATTGATCATATATGGAAGCATCCTCAGGTAGTGTAGATTCAATTTTATTAAAATCATGACCCCCTCCCCCCGGGGGGTAGGGTGGGGTCACAATGGCCGATCAAAGATTTACAGAGACACATATAGGAAAATTCTTTAAAAATCATCTTCTCAAGAATAGCAAAGCCATGATTGGTCATTTGACTACTTTTGGATTTTAACTTTTCAATAATAAACCAATTTCTACTTTTTCCTAGCCACAGTGCTTAGGTGAGCGATGTGGCCCATGGGCCTCTTGTAATTCATAAAATCCACATTTTGTGGGTTTTCCCCCTTTTCTTATCAATATTTGAACATCTTAGCTAGCCAAGGGTTTCTAGTACGCTACTCTCCTCATAATCGGGGAGTAGTGTATCAGAAACCCTTAGCTAGCGAAGATGTAGACTGGCTGCCTGTCTGATATCCTGCGTACGATAAAGACAGGCAATACCATAATACCAGTCTAGCGAAGATGATATTTGAAGTATTTCGAGTTTGCTACAGAAGTGGAGCTCTCTAATATTGAAGGTCAAAAATTAGTATAGTGAATTGAAAGTAGACCATTAGGCTATGGCGCAAGAGTAATGTAAGATAATAGATTGAATTTAATTTTAAGGGTACTTACCACAAACAAAAAATGGATGCGCGGGTTGATATATATTTTTTGACTGATTTTGATTTGTATTGATATAAATAATAAATCCCTGAAATATAAAGAAATCGTAGGTTTTCCTTGGTGCTTAGATTTGAGATTTTATTTTGCCTTCTATATAATTCCATACAAAATTTTGCACAATTTTTTAACTTTATGACAAAATCTTATAAAATTCTCCCACTCTACTTTGTAAACATTATTCAGGTTGTCAATTTATATGTTAATCTATGAGAAATAATGCTGATTTCTGAAAAAAGTTTGTTTGTGTTATTTATCCTTAAACTTAACACTAAAGAAAGTTAAATTTAAATACTTTTTATGCATGCTCACTTTATCTTGTGCATATATGGAATTTTAAATTATTATTTAGTGATAAGGAACTTGCCATTTTTTACTGTAGTCTGAACCACAGGAGTTTCTGAATGAAGTATTTCTCAATTAATCTACGTATATTGATACATGTAGAAATTACAGTACACTGACTTCAGCATGCATATTGATATATTGTGATGGAAAATTTTAGTGAACATATCATGCTCTTGTTTCATACAATATTTTTTGCAGTCTGTCTATTTACTTGGAATCAGGACAACTCGCCCCCAACACTTCTCAAGACAACTCACCCCCAAATTAGGACTACTCGCCCCCACTTAAGACAACTCGCCCCCGTTATTTTTTCTTGTAAAGTGCAAGGAAAAAATAAGTGTAATATTCAATAATGTATATTTTATGTCCAAATTTAAATTATAATCAATATTTACAGTTGTAATAGCTACATGTTATTTATTTTTTAATCATGATGGATTTACATTTTTTTTGGTATAAAAACACTGTACTGTGTTTGCATCAAATACTTATCATTAATATCCATGCTTTCTTAAACTTTATTCTTATGAAATAGAGTTAATAAAAGCGTTTATTTTTCATATCTTTAAAATTGTTATTTATAAAATATTTCTAATTTAATGAAGCATATCTTCTTCAGTGTTAAAACATCTAAATTATTTAATGACGAAATTAACGTTTAACTAGCTGACGGTGTAAGGAAACTGATGATACTGATAATTACTTAATTTTAAATGAAAATATCAGACAGAAATTTTAATGAAACACCCAAGCTAACATGCAACTAATTTTGATACTTCAAAGTGATAACTTATTTAATTACTACATGCAAGCCCCAAAATTACATGTTTTATAAAAAAAAAATTGGCGTGTCGTATCAAAGCTCCAAAGCAGTTTCAATTTGTTGGAGAATTTTAGCATGCAAGCTCTGAAAATTACATTTATTTAGGTTTTGTGATAAAAGTGTAAAATAAAATCTATGTAAGAATTTAGCGAAGATATAAATAAAAGGTGCCAGTAGCAACAATACTAGCGATAGTGTTTAAATTATTAACACATTGTATTTCTGTTTCGTTTTCAATAGAATGAAAAAATTTATTTCCAGATGTTTATTTTAATTTTATAGAAACAATTTGAATTCAAATCTATGTATTATAATATATTTAATATTTGCTGGTCTGTCAAACAGGGGGCGAGTTGTCTTGAGTGGGGGCGAGTTGTCCTGAATATGGGGCGAGTTGTCTTGGGGGCAACCTGTCTTGGGGGCGAGTTGTCCAGCATTCATTTACTTTTGATTTGGGTGGGAATTTTTCTTTCATTTTTAAGCAGCAAGTGGATGCGCTAATTGCTAGGTGTAAGTAAAAATTGTCAAGTGTGTCAGCATTTTTAATAAAATCAATTTCACAGAGGTAATTATTTTATAGTGGATTTAGAATTTAAAAAATGAAAATTAACATGTAATATACATATTGTAGAAGAGTTTTCTCAAAAGTTATACACCTTGTCTAAAAGTCATACTTTGATATAAATATTTATTAAGTTTGTGGTATTTCTGTATTATAAAACATGTGTAATTTGTCCCTGCAGCATTAAATAGCAGAGATGCATCAGCAGTATTCTGATGAAGAACAGGACCCAGATAAACAACAGAAACAACAACCAGGTCTGGATGTGGGGGTGAAGGCTCAGAGTCAAGGTGTACAGGTACGTTACCGTGTCACGAGTCATACTGTTGTATGTACAATGTATGTATATTTGGTGACCAAAACAAGGGATAAGTTGGTAAGGGTACCAGTGGCTTTGTGTGTGTCACCAACTTTAGAAATTTAAGTTCAACCCTGATGTTTATCTCAAATTTTTATGACAGTTCTACTATTTTCAAGATGTTGATTGAGGTTTGATTGAATATATTCAATGATTTTATTTATTTAATTAATTATTTAATTATGTTTTTTTTGTTTGATCGTTTACTTAGAAATTTTGTATTTCGAGAAGTTCAGAAAATTAGTAAATGTTTGATACGTACAGTGTAAGTCTTAACATGCTAAACATGCTATTTGCAGATGCAATTTCATTTTAAACCTGGCATTTATGTACATGTATAACATTTATATGATAATCCATCATAATCCAAAATTATAAAATTGTTATTTTTCACAATTTTTTGAGGGGGAGGAACTTGACTGTAGTGATTAATTATTCTCCCAATATATATCAGGTTAGCCAAGAAGTCAAGGACAAGAAAATGACCTTGGAGGAAATCAAACAGAGTGGGCGGGCGGAACGACAGCGAAGGAGAGAGGAGAGAAGACGACAACAGTCTGACTCGGATTCAGAGTCGGAGTATCTGGTCGGCAAACTGGCCGAAATTGTAAGTTATGTTTTAAGCCTTGAAGTGACTTGATTTACCCTTTAGCTAAGGTTCTTTTGATTGAATGTTTGCCCTTCAGCTGTTGGTCTGCTCTCTAGACTTGACCAGCCTTGAATGTTTCTGTGAATTTAAAAGCATTGTCAATCTTAGTTAAGTCACACATGTTTACTTACTCCATATCATTATACTTACGAATTCACTTATGGGGATTCTCTTTCTCTCTCTCTCTCTCTCCCCTCTCTCTCTCTGGAGTGCATGGGGTTGGGATGCAGGGAGGGAAAGGGGTGTAATTAGTCATATTTAATTTATTCTTAAAGAGTTCAAGGTTTAAGGTGATGCACACTTTAAGCTGCTAAATGAATTAGTAAAAATGACAAGGAGATCATATTGGATCAAGGAGTTTAATTGTACAATGGTGTGTTAAATGCCCAGACAACAAATTCACCTTCCCCCAGAGTCAGTGCAACATTGCTACAGTAGAACTGGGTTATAATGAAGTCACTTGGACCTATGAAATTACTTCGTAATTTATAAAATCAGTGTGAGGAATTAGCAAAATTTATATATCTGGGGATCCAAGATAAATTTGCTATATCTGTGAATTCACAATATCCCTGTTCGTACTAAACAAGTTTTATTATACATTGTATATATAGTTTTATAGTCTAACATTGTTCATAAATTGGAAGAAATCTATCAACATATTGTTACAAAGTAATTAAAAACAAATACCATAATCATCTTTAGTTTAATATGAGATAATGGTCATTTTAATTTTATATGTGGGATTTGTTTTCTCTCTCTTGAAAATTTGTCTTACCCTGTTTTATACATGCAGGCTCTAACAGTTAAGGAACCAGACCTTATTGAGGGGTAAGCTAGTTTTTAAACTTAATTTAAACAAAATTTGAATCAGGATTTTAAAAAAAGCTGGATGAAAGGTCATTTACTGTCCTTTGAAAAAAATATCAAATCTGACATATACAGTAAGACTAGCTTATGAGAAAACCCTTAGAACATTGATTTTTGTTTCCTTTTAACAATGTTTAACACATGAATTTTATATGGAGAGTTCTTTATAATAAAAAAAATCCTCATATGCATCTTAGACCCTTGTAAGGACACATTGCAATTTTGATTAAGTTTTGTATGATTTGCCTCCCCTAACAGCTGTGTTTTGAATTCTTCAGAACGGGGCTGATTTATGATGAGCGGATGTTAAAGCACGAGAATCTCTGGGACAAGGATTACCCAGAGAATCCGTCACGCATCAGTGGGCCTTTCCAGCGATGTTCTGAGCTTGGTCTTACAGAGAGATGTGTTCGACTAGAGGTTAGCAATCATTAATGAGTAAAACATGATGTAGAATTATTCTAAGGAAAAATCATCATTCCTGTTTGATCTCAATCTTCAAATTTTTCTTACTGTATATCATGTATTTTCTTTTCAATGGCATTGAGATTTTTCAAAATCTCTAAGTAACATTTTAAAGGATGTTCCATTCATGACAGCAAAGAGCCCTAGAGGTTAAGACAAAAGGACAAGATAAGCTAATACCACTTTTTGGCCCTGATTTTTGGTGTCTTTTAGAAGGATGCAACAGTTTATAAATGAAAAACTGTTGTCACCAATGCCACAAACCAAGTTTTGGTTCTAAGTTATGGAGGTCAGAAAATAGGTCAATTTCCAAATTTTCTATGCAAACTTGCAATTTTACAGCATATTTTGTTTTAGAAAACAGAGCACAGCTTGTTTAGCAATCAAATTCATATATTTTTTACACTTTGACTAATATCAGATGCATTTTATGTATAAAAATCTCAAAGAGACAAGCGTGTGCTCCATGTTTCCCAAAGAGATACATATCTCAAATTTGATGAAATTTGACCTTAATTGAGGAAATTCAAGAAAATGTCTTACTTCTGCACCCTCTTGTGGCCTCTGTGATAGCTTTGAATCCAGATTAATGCTGGTATTAAAGCAAAAACCATTATTTAAAAGTTCTTAACTACAAACTATAGCTATCACAATTTTACCAATGTTTGATTTTTCCTTCAAATAAGGGGCCAGATTTGGCTGTTACCCTACCTTGTCTTTAATGATTAAAAGTAATTTATGGCAACTAACATGACTAAGTAAGGCAAATGATATGAATTTGGATATTGATGTCTTGTTAATTTCAGGCCCAGCATTCTACAGAGGACATGGTACTGTTACAACATTCTCAGGAACTGATAGAAAAACTCAAACGGACCACGGAAATGAGCACCGAGGAACTAAAAGCCGAGGCCATCAAATACGACTCGGTTTACTTCAACCAGGTATGAGTTATATGAAATAAAATAAAGACTTGTGGTTATGTGTTTGGAAGGAAAGGGGAGGGGAGGCGTTTTCTCAATTGAGCCAAATTAAGGTTTAAATGACTTTACGAAGTGTATCCATCGACCATCTGTTAATCTTAGTTTTCATGTTCCACTTCTTTTCCTAAAGCATTGGGCAAAACTTCAATTAAGCAACTCCATAAGGGTTCAAGTTTTTTTAAATGAAAGAAACATTAGCTTTAAAGAGTACATTCAAATACATGTAGTTTTAATCATGCCTGCATAATGGAATATGTATGAAATAAAAAAAAATCTTAAGAACAGCAGTACCATGATTTAATCAAATTATTTTACAAGCATCTCTGAGATCCTTTCTTGATGGTTTATAAGATGATGGAATATGTGTAGATCACCTAAGACCATGAAAATGGAGAACACTATAAAATCTTCTTCCTTTATAAAAGTTGCTGAAAATGATAAATTTTTAGCACAGTTTGTAATGAAGTTATATGTTATATCCGTTAAGTTCACAATATGTTTTAAAGAGACATGGAATGAAAATCACTTCACAATAAGTGTCAATTTATTATAAGCAATGCTGCATGTTCGTTTTTAGCATGTTTGACTGTATAAATTCCTTTCTTCTCTATTGTAGGCTACATATGAGTGTTCCTTGTTGTCACTTGGGAGTACTGTAGAATTAATGGAACAGATTCTAAAGAAGAAGGTCGGTGTTTGGAAGAGGAATGCTAATAAAAAATATACATAAATTGTTACTTTATATACTGAACCTTAAGATAAGAAGATACAGAAATTCAGAGCTAAAAGAAAATGATACTGTAAAGGAGAGTTATCAGCCCTTTAAAAAAAGTACACAGTGTGGATTTGCACGATTAGATGCAGATATATCAATCTTGAAAATATACATATGTGTACATTTAAATGTACCTGTGTAAATTACTTAAATGCAAATTTTTTTTCTTGAATAGTTAACTCGGCAATGTGACTTTGAGGTTCCATAAAAATAGATTTGAGTTTGACTTTTCTGAACTAATGATTTTTTTGTGAATTATAGGTGAGAAATGGAATGGCTTTAATAAGGTATGTATATTTTTGACTTTTATATTTCAATTACTGCAATTATGAAGATGAAATTTAAAACTGAATTTTAATAAAAATAAAAATCTGAATGTTCATGGTAGGTCATAATTTCAGAAATGGATTGAAGTTAACAATTATACAATCTATACATTCATTACATTGCATCTGTAGTAATTTTTGGAAATTGTGGGAATTATTGATGAAAAAAGAAGGAAATTTGATTAATACCCCCAGGCTTGTATATCTACCTGATATACCCTCCAAATCACTATTTTTTAGACCCCCAGGACACCACGCAATGTCGGAGGAATTTTGTGGATTCTGTTACTTCAATAATGTTGCTATTGCTGTAAAACATGCCCTGGAAAATCTCAAACTGAAAAAGTAAGTGGTACACAATACCCTTGAACATTTGTGAAGGCCGGTGTATTTTCAGAAAAGATTTTAATGAGCATTGAGCAATGAATGAAAAGTGTTTTCTCAGGATGAATCAATATACAGTGTATCAATAAAACTAATGGCAATATTATAATGTAAAATAATTGTCCTAATTCCTATTATATATTGTATACTATATGCCCTATTATATAGAATGTAGGAACGTGCACTTCTTAAATTTATGCTATAACTCCTAATTAGAGGTGGGGTGGTGTGGGATGATTGGGGGCTCGTGGATGGGAGGATCATTTAATTTTCCACCTCTAACTGAATTTCAGTTTTGTTTAATTATTTTCTACAAGGATTTTAATCATAGACTGGGATGTTCATCATGGCCAGGGCACCCAGCAGATGTTTTACAATGATCCGCGGTAAGAAGAGATTTCACATTCACTATTCTGACTAATGAGCTGTACAATTTATAGATTGATAAATATGTATCTGAACATTACAGATGGAGTTGGATAAATTCTATATTGAATTTAAACTGAGATGTGCTAATTTTGAATCATGCAATTATTAAGAATGTACAAGTTGAATAAACTCAAAATAAAAAAATAAACAAGGCTACCACACCTAGAAAAATCTTTTAAAAAAACAATGATTCAGAAACTAATGTCCTAGCTTTACATATATTTCACATTTTTAAAAATAAATATATGCATTCAGAGACATACCAGATATAGTTTTCTATAAACATTAACATTGATCCTGTAAGTCGCTTTCCATCTATGTGTTAATTTACAGAGTGCTGTACTTTTCTATACATCGGTACGAGTTTGGGAAGTTTTGGCCCCACCTGAGAGAGAGTGACTATGACTTTATAGGAGAAGACAAGGGAGTAGGGTATAACATCAATGTCCCTCTTAATCAGGTAAATTATCATAACACCAGGGGTCCCATGGAAAGAATAAATTAAGAAGCATAGAGATAATGTACAGTTGAACTTTGATATCCTGAACACTGATATCTTAACACTATGGATATGTTGAAGTGATTTGGAAGTCCCAATCACTTACCGTAAATCTGGAAATTTTTGCTGTAGATAAATTTTTAGCAAATTTGCGAGTTCATTACATTCGCAAAAATATTTTTCTTAAAAATATTTCAACAATAAGAAAATATTAACAAAGTAGTGGTCATTCGTAAAATTTTGAAACGTAAAAATTAATCCATAGCATTTTGACCCAGATTCGCAAAATAAAATCGATGTAAAAATTTCCAGATTTACAGTATTCTGTAAAAATTTTACCCTTTACTTCTTAAATCCTTAAATATCTCACAGTTACACATGTATTTTCTCAGTCCCCGACAGAAGCTGCACTTTCACACTGTGACAATTTATCTCTTTTATTGAATAAATTAAGTTCAGTATTTCAATGCTGAAAATGTAATTAAGTGTTATATTTGTGTAGACGGGGATGGCTGATCATGACTACCTGGCTATATTTCATCAGGTTTTAATGCCAATTGCATTTGAGGTAAGACTTAGTATCTACATGTTTTTTTAACGTTAAATACATTGTCACCTAGACAAAGTTATGGGGAAGCTTCTGTTTTACCCCCAATTGCCAGTGTCTCAGGTCAGAGTTCTGAGATTTGGGCTTCTTCTATACTGGACCTATGAATTTATACTACTAGGGATGCTTAACATATGTTTTGAATTCCAGTGTTCTCTTAGGAGAGCTTTGAAGTTATCTTTGCTTACCTATAGATTTAAGTATACATACGAGGGTTGATCCAAAAGTTCGTGGAATTTCTTTCTAAAATTTTATCATGATTTGAAAAAAGCAAACAATAGGCATATTTATAAAATAGAGTCATAATACAACAATACTGGAAAATTTCACCATGTTCCAATTACCAATAAGGTCACAAGAGCTTTCTGAAAATGGATGGTTGTGAAACCCGGGGGAGACTTCGACGTAACGTCAAGTTAGGTATGTCACGTCACGTTATAGAATTATCTCACCCTAATGTCAAATTCGAACACGTAATTCTTCAAAATGCTGCCCTTTTCTCCATTTTTTTTCTCAAGAAAAGCCTGGGTATGACCAATTTATCTTCATTTTTTACTCATATTTCAAAATACCCCCCATCCTTCCATATGATGTTCCGATTTCAGTAGCAATGTCAAGAACAGTACGTCAGCCGACAACGTCTATTAACGCTTTCAATTTATCAAGGGGGACAACACTTAAAACAGAGCCTCAAAAAGGCGGCCACACCTTTAATCAACGTCCATGAAGGTTCTATTTTTCTTCATTTTCTTACGCCACCGGAAAACCAGTGGCTAAATGCATTTTTCCTCAGTCTATGTCAATATTATACGCATTTAAGAGAGAGTGATCCCGGGATTTTCACAAAACTTATGACTTGACTGAAATTTGACATCGTCTAACAACCTTAAGATGAACAATAAATTATTAACTAATAAACAAAATATCTGGTAAAATCAGTAAAATACACACACAAAGGTTTATAAAAGATCAAGCAATCGTAATAATGACATAATTTTCGTTTTCTATAACACGAAGATCGGTTTAATTCTCATTTCAAGTATTAAGAATTAAAATGATAATAAACGCATTGATGTCTTCCCCGCATTTCCAAACATCCATTTCTATGGCAACTGCCATAGAGTTACTATCACAAATATTTAAAATATTTTTTAATCTAAAATATTCAACAAGTGTCTTTATTCTCATTTGTAATTTTCAACCAATTTCACTTATAAATGAATGAAATATTAAGAAATTCCACGAACTTTTGGATCAACCCTCGTATATACATGTATATAATGTCAAAATGCATCTCTAAATTTTGTTGCTTTTAATTTTGAATTTTTTTTTAACTCATTTATTTTATATCTCCTGTCTAGAATTAAAAGATTGAACAGTGTGATATTGTAACAATCCAAAAATTATTAGTACAATATATTTCAGATAATTTATTATTTACACATTTGTTGATAATTCAGTTAATGTGCTGGTAATTTCAGTTTGATCCAGAATTAGTTTTGATTTCTGCTGGATATGATTGCGCAATAGGTTGTCCCGAGGTAAACTAAAGGAGTTGTGAATGTTTCTTCTTACATGTATTAGTCATGGAGGCTTTATGTTATGTTAGACAAATAACTGCAGAAAATTTCTTGGCACTGGCATTGAAAATATATACATGTACATCAACAGAGTCAGTATAATTTAAAGAATGATTTTGGGAGGGAGGGGTTGTTAAAGGTAAAAAATAGTAAAAAAAAAAAAAATACTGTTGTTTTTATACACCATGTATACATGTATATCAGTTTTAATATTTAAATATATATACATTTTTCACAAAACTTTTCAATATAAATTTTTCAAGAAATTTGCTGCAGTTTTCTAACTTCTATTTTAATCCCAAATCTATTGAATTCCACAGGGTTTGGCATGCTCTTAGTTATTACTGTTGCATGCCGTTTTTATGCACAGTTTGATTTAGTAGTTTGCTCATTATCTATTAATATGCTTCCTTTGTTTTAACACAGTTTAATCCTGATTTTGTTGTTGTGTCCGCTGGATTTGACTCGGCCATTGGAGATCCCAAGGTCTTGTTCTTCTTATTTCTATATTAAAAAACAAAACAATTAAACTCACTTCTATAAATTAAAGGACAAAACTAAGTAAGCTCATAGAATAAAAAAAAATACCAGGTCCTATATTTAATTCTAAGGTATAATATAGCTGTACAGTACTTAATAACAGGTAATTTTTTTCTATTCATATGAACTTGCACAGATTAAGTCTTAACTTAATGAACTTTACAAGTACCCAAATGTCAACTACAGTAAAACTCATTTAGTACGAACACGGATATAGCGAATTCACGGATATAACGAAGTTTCTCGGGGTCCCCGGCAAAATTCTTAACAATTCTTTGTAAAACTTTACGGTTATAACGAACTCGGATATAGCGAATTTACGGATATAGCGAACTGATTTGAGTCCCGTAGAGGTTAAAAATAATAATATTTACATCTTTTATAACGAATTTTTAAAAATCTCAAAGGTAGATATATTGAACTGACTTTATTTTAGTATATATTTGCAAATGAAATTCAATTTGAAATGGAAAACCTCAGTAAGTCACGGTATGTTTTGTAATAATTGTTTCCCTACCAAATTCGGTTGTAATACTTGGAGTAATACGTGTACATTGCGACTTCGCTGTATACACTTATACAAATTCATTATACGGATACAACGAATTATGGATATAGCGAACTAAATTCACAGGTCCCCAGGACTTCGCTATAACCGAGTTTTACTGTATAGGGGTAATAATAAACTTAACCAGTATTAGAAAGTCATAAGACAGTGGTAGATTTGAACAATGCCATAGAGGCATCTGATCCCAAAACCTTTCAGCATTTTATTCTCAAACATGTGTAGAGATTTCAGGAGGTCAGAAAAATGTTGAGTAAATGACCCAAGGTCAGTGACAAAGGTCATAGGCATGCTAAATTGACCAATGGCAGAATAGGTGTAATTTTACCAATATATATTTGAAATAAAATAGGATAAAGAAGAAAAACAAAAATCATTGTAAAGGTTTAAAAAAAAAACTAGGTACTGATAAAGCTATCAAATAATGATTCAGAGTTTATAATGTATGTAAAATAATAATACGTATGCTATTATTCCTGTAATCCTGGAGTGATATTTTGTGAGGGATATTAATCTAGGACATGCTTTGGCGTGGGTTTGGTATTTGAGTTGTTCTTCTTTGTAAACTTTTGATGCATTTATTCTAAATCAATATGAATGATTTAATATCTTTTTTCAACATGTTCATTATCTGTGTACTGAGTATAATGAAAACAATCTTTTGCACTACACTGTACAATATAAAATCAAATACTTTCATGTTCAAAAGTTACTATTTAAAATAATGCATCATAATTTTTTTTTTAAAGAGTGATAAATTAGCTACAGCTTATATTCATATTTCTAACACAAATATAATCATTACATAAATCTTACCATTTTGTGTGATTTTTTTTAAATAAAAAAAATAAAACATGCACAACTTTGTTGATCATGTTGATGTAATGTATATAGATTTGTACATGAAAATGCTTATGAAATTCACAAACAACTTTTATGAATTTTAAATTTACCTGTAGTTTATTCTTTTTTTTTTAAATAATGATACGTTCAATAAAGATTTAAGTGATTTTCATTATGACATACTAAGATTCAATAGATTTAAAAGTAAAAAAGTACAACAGTGAACTATCAAAATAATTCTGTCAATGATAGTTTTGAAAAGTGAATTTCTCTAATAGGGAGAAATGGGGGTAACACCTGCAGCCTTTGCTCACATCACTCACAAGGTCATGTCCTTGGCACAAGGTCGTGTGGCAGTCATATTGGAGGTATGAATGAATCAGCATCTTTGTTCTGTATATTTACTGTGAACATAAACTGAAAAAAATTCAACAAAGCAAAGGAAAGCAATCAACATTAAATTTGATGTGAAATTGGACCAGAATTTTAATTTGGTATATTTTTTTAGGGTGGGTACTGCTTGAAGTCTCTCTCTGAGTCAGCAGCCTTGACCTTGAGAACATTACTTGGTGACCCTTGTCCCAGAATTCCATCATCTCAGGAACCATGTGACAGGTAAATATTGTCCAGTATTAACTTTCATCAGATATCAGCATTCAAACAAACACTTCTGCTAATGTTCACTTTGATAAAATATATGTAAAGGTACATATACTGTAAATCACTTTTTATTTGCGAGAACTTTATTTTCGCGTAATTACGCGAGACAGTATGCTCGCGAAAATTTCATTCTCGCGTATAATAGAATTCCTTATGATTTTATAGAACAATGATAACAATTCGTGAAAAATTTGTCTCGCTACCAAAGAGTCAATGACTATCTCGCGAAAATAAGGTGTCGTGAAAATTAAGTGATCTACAGCAGTAGGTTGTGACTGGGAAAAAGTGAGTGCTTTAATATAACTATGTGTATAAAAATTCATTTCTCATGGAATCCATCTTTTACAAGAACATGCTAATTAAATTTTCTATAATTCTAGTGTAATAAAGATCATTTTTTAATTTCAGTGTCACTGAGTCCATTCTGAATGTGATTAAGGTTCTTCGGCCTTACTGGAAGTGTCTGCAGTATCAGGAATTCACCTCTGACCCTTGTCCTTTTGAAGAGGTCAACCTGTCTCCTCCTAAGTAATATTTCCTACTTTTTGGGTCAAAATAAACAATATTTGTTTGATTGCTTGACTGTATATTGTTTAACATCCCTCTTGGGAATTTTTCACTCACATGGAGAAGCCCAGTATTTGTTTGAACAAAAAACTGTTTAGACAGAACTTTCCTTTCTACAATTTCCTACTTAAACTTTTGACAGTTATATCTAAAACTTCCAATACACTGTAATATCATATCATGTGGCTAGGTACGAACTGTTCACTATCAATGCCTAGATTTCAGATTACAGTGCACTAATTTGGACAAAAGGAGCATAGACATTTGCTCTGTTCACTTACAATTGTGTGTTAGGCAGTATTGTTTCCTTTGTAGGCCTGATATTATTCTCATTACTGAGGAAAACAAACCAAAGGAATACCCAGAAAGTCTGGAGCCCACAAAAGTAGAGGAGTATTACAAAGTGGAGAAAAGACTGTCACCTGTTATAGACAGAATAATAGCTAACACAGACCTCAGTATAGCTAAAAACAGGTAATGTATAGAGACAGAATTATAGCTAACACAGACCTCAGTATAGCTAAAAACAGGTAATGTATAGAGATAGAGACAGAATTATAGCTAACACAGACCTCAGTAAAGCTAAAAACAGGTAATGTATAGAGACAGAATTATAGCTAACACAGACCTCAGTATAGCTAAGAACAGGTAATGTATAGAGATACAGACAGAATCATAGCTAACACAGACCTCAGTAAAGCTAAAAACAGGTAATGTATAGAGATACAGACAGAATTATAGCTAACACAGACCTCAGTATAGCTAAGAACAGGTAATGTATAGAGATACAGACAGAATTATAGCTAACACAGACCTCAGTATAGCTAAGAACAGGTAATGTATAGAGATACAGACAGAATTATAGCTAACACAGACCTCAGTATAGCTAAGAACAGGTAATGTATAGAGATATAGACAGAATCATAGCTAACACAGACCTCAGTATAGCTAAGAACAGGTAATATATAGAGATATAGACAGAATCATAGCTAACACAGACCTCAGTATAGCTAAAAACAGGTAATGTATAGAGATATAGACAGAATCATAGCTAACACAGACCTCAGTATAGCTAAAAACAGGTAATGTATAGAGATACAGACAGAATTATAGCTAACACAGACCTCAGTATAGCTAAGAACAGGTAATATATAGAGATATAGACAGAATCATAGCTAACACAGACCTCAGTATAGCTAAGAACAGGTAATGTATAGAGATACAGACAGAATTATAGCTAACACAGACCTCAGTATAGCTAAGAACAGGTAATATATAGAGATATAGACAGAATCATAGCTAACACAGACCTCAGTATAGCTAAAAACAGGTAATGTATAGAGATATAGACAGAATCATAGCTAACACAGACCTCAGTATAGCTAAGAATAGGTAATGTATAGAGATACAGACAGAATTATAGCTAACATAGACATCAGTATAGCTAAGAACAGGTAATGTATAGGGATATAAACAGAATTATAGCTAACACAGACCTCAGTAAAGCTGAAAACAGGTAACGTATAGAGATACAGACAGAATTATAGCTAACACAGAGCCTCAGTATAGCTAAAAACAGGTAATGTATAGAGATAGAGACAGAATTATAGCTAACACAGACCTCAGTATAGCTAAAAACAGGTGATGTATAGAGACAGAATAATAGCTAACACAGACCTCAGTATAGCTAAAAACAGGTAATGTATAGAGATAGAGACAGAATTATAGCTAACACAGACCTCAGTATAGCTAAGAACAGGTAATGTATAGGGATATAAACAGTTTTAAAGCTCATGAAAGACCTCAGAAAAGCATAAACATGAAAATGATGTATAGGTATAGAGATAGAGACCAGCCTGTGTCACCAACAAACGTTAGAAAATATAGATGTGTAAGGACTTTTTTTTGTTAATTTACAGAACCTGCATAGCCTATGATGAAGGAATGAGGGCCCATTGTTCAACAGCATCTTACTAGTAAGCTCTTTGTTTATACTACTTTTAAAATATTTGGATCACAGTATCTTTTACAGCCATTTGACCTGATCACATATCTTTATGATGTCTAAGAATCATTTGTAGTGCTCATCTTGCTGTCTGTGTGCTTCTATTAGGCCCTGAAAGAATTTGCTAAATCTCTTTAAAAATCATCTTCTATTATAATCTCACTTCATTAGAGAAGTTAAATCTTGCAATCATTGAGTTAAAGAATAATTCTCTGATTTCCATTTTTGTAGAGCTTTAATGATCTCACCTCATTGGAGAAGATTAATCTTGCACTTCAGGGACAAATACGAATACAAATGTTTTTCTCCTTTGTTGACTATATACACACTGTGCCTTGTACTAAAGAATGCTTATAATAAATAATGAACCTTTTTTACTTTTCTTTTAGCCATCCCGAATCTCCTGACAGAATAACACGAATATTTGACAAACACACAGAGTGGGGGCTGACTCAGAGATGTACTAGGGTAGAGGTGAGTACAGTCCTATACCCAGAGTGGGGGGCTGACTCAGAGATGTACTAGTGTAGAGGTGAGTACTGAGTCCTATACACAGAGTGGGGGCTGACTCAGAGATGTACTAGTGTAGAGGTGAGTACTGAGTCCTATACACAGAGTTGGGGCTCACTCAGAGATGTACTAGAGTAGAAGTGAGTACTGAGTCCTATACACAGAGTGGGGACTGACTCAGAGATGTACTATGGTAGAGGTGAGTACTGAGTCCTATACACAGAGTGGGGACTGACTCAGAGATGTACTATGGTAGAGGTGAGTACTGAGTCCTATACTCAGTGTGGGGACTCACTCAGAGATGTACTAGGGTAGAGGTGAGTACTGAGTCCTATACTCAGAGTGGGGGCTCACTCAGAGATGTACTAGGGTAGAAGTGAGTACTGAGTCCTATACACAAAGTGGGGACTCACTCAGAGATGTACTAGGGTAGAAGTGAGTACTGAGTCCTATACACAGAGCAGGGACTGAATCAGAGATGTACTAGGGTAGAGGTGAGTACTGAGTCCTATACACAGAGGGGGGGGGGGGGGGGTTCACTACCATTTATTAACATAATACATGTATTTCAATACAGTTGAACTTTGGTATGTTGAACACTGATATCTCAATTACATCTACCATGGATTTGAAGTTCCTTCCACCTATTTCTTTTGGTATTCTACCCTTAATTATTCAAAATCTTGGATATCTAAAAGTTTTTCTCAGTCTAAATGAGTTCAGTATAACAGGGTTTGACTATATATAAATAATCAAGGATTAGAATGTAGTTTGACTCATGGACATACTGCTAAATGCTGGGAAACTCAGTAACACAATTTCAATATCTGTTCCAGACACGGATGGCAACAGAAGCAGAACTGACACTCATCCACAGGTTTGTTTTGAATATCAGGATTCTTAAAAAGTAAAGATGTCTGTCACATTCTTCATTTGATTAATTAAAATTTTATAATTTCAGTTCAGCTCATGTTGAAGAGATAAAGAGTTTTGAAGATAAAAATCCATTTGAGTTGAAAAGATTGGAGTCAAATTACCAGTCAATCTATCTCTGCAAAGTAATTTTATTTATTTACCTCATATCATATAAAATAGAATTTAATAGTAAATGTAACTGGAATATTATATCAAACTTTCGGAAAGCAATGTATTTGTAAGATACTGTTCAGGGGAAAGTAAACTATGGTCAATGTGTTAATCGTACAGTATTCACACTTTAGATAAAGTAGTGAATTTAGTTTAAAAGAATTGAACTAATTTCAAGATAAATGATTGTTGAAGTCTAGCATGAATACAGCAAATCTCGTTTAGTACGAACACGGATATTGTGAATTTATGGTTATAGCGAAGTCATCTTGAATCCCCAGCTAATAAAATTTAATGACTTTTCTATATGGTTATAACAAATTACGGATATAGCGAAGTAATTTCACAGGTCCCAGTGACTTCGTTATGACCGAGTTTTACTGTATTTGTTTCTGTGAGCAAATTAAAAAAAATTGTGGTTAGTAGCTAGAAGAAAAAAAATTACAGGTAATTGAAATTAGTCATAAGCCAATTCAAACCCTCTACAGAAATGACTTTTCACAGGGAAAATTGAAAACTTTTATGTTTATTTAATGGTTTTAAACCTGAGTTTTTATAGTTGTTTATAATGTTTTATATAACAATGCTGTACTGTTGTAGGACTCTTACTTTTGTGCGCGGATGGCTGCTGGATTTGTGTTGGATGTGGTGGATAATGTGATGACAGGACAGGTGAGGGTATTGAGATCCTGATCATGGTCTGGGAAATCACTCATTTTCAGAGGGAGGGTGGGGGGGGTGGTAATTTTTGTTGTTTTCAAGGTGTGGAGAAACTCGCAAAATGTAAATGTCATATACAAAACTACCCAATAATTAATGAAAATACCCCCCCCCCCCCCTGAAAATTAGTGATTTCACAGTCAAATAAATATAGGAATTATGTTGCACTACATAAACTATGTGAAAATTTATATGGTATGAAATGATAACTTAATAATTCCATGTTTTGGAATTACAGAGTCAAAATGGGGTTGCAATAGTGAGGTAAGATTCTAGATTCAAATTTTATTGAAATTGTGGAATGAAAATGTTAGTCTCACTTTGGTTTGAATTGTATTCTTGATTGATCAGAACAAAGGTGGGTTTTCTTTGGTATGGCATTGATACTGGATCGGAGCAGTTGAACTTGTTTTATTTTTAGACCTCCTGGACATCACGCTGAGTGCTCCCGAGCCATGGGTTTCTGTTTTTTTAATAATGTAGGCATTGCAGCCAAGTATGCTCAAAGCAAGTATAATGTCAAAAAGTAAGTTTGGCCATGTAATATGTCTAATAATAGACTATTAGATATAATTGTTTGAAGTCAAAATATAATGTTGAGATTATAAAAAAAATGTATGATTGTTTGTTACTTCAAATAAAAACTGTAGTTGTAATTAAGACATGTGTAATTCTTCTTTTCTTGAAAGAGAGGTGAATCTAAGCCCTAAATAAAAAAACCCCATTGATGTTTCAGAGTTTTAATTGTTGACTGGGATGTACATCATGGTAATGGTACACAACATCAGTTTTATGAGGACCCAAGGTATTTTCTATCCCTTGTATATGTATGTTTCTGACTTGGAAGCATTGAAAATATAATATGACCTGTATATTGAACATGAAGGTCAGTTCTGAAGTAAAAAATTTTCACGAATCTTTTGGAAAACAAATTGAACATTCTGGTATAAAAGTAAAGTTATAATTCATGAGTGAGGCTGTCTTCATTTGAATTTGATGTTTGATTTCATTTTAATTTTAAATTTTCTATAATTCCTCTTTAGTGTCCTTTTTATAAGTCTTCATCGTTATGACCGGGGTTCCTTCTATCCCTGCACAACTGAGGGGTGCCACACCAAAGTGGGAGCAGGGGAGGGGACAGGCTTCAATGTCAACATCCCATGGAACAATGTAAATCACTGTTACAGCTATAACTTTTCTTAATTTAGGGAATAACTAATCTTCTAATTTGGTATTTGCAACCGTTAATGCTGATTTAACAGTCACAAACTGAGTTTTACCGGTGACACGTAAGCGGAGCCAGTAAAACTGATGTTTGCGACTGTTAAATCAGCATTAACAGTCAAATACCAAAATGGAAGATAGTTTTTCCCATTCTAATGCAATCTATGCATTCTGTTTATTGTTTACGTCTTATTTTGAATTTTATGACCTGAAACACGTCACGGAGCATTGTTTTTGTGTCACTCTATTATGACGTCACAAAGCTTTCACTCTCGTTTATGCTTGTTTTACTGCTTCAAACATCAGTGCATTAGCCAACCAAAACGTGTTTTACAAAACAACTGCATTACAATACTGTATACAGGGCTATTTTTGCCCCATGTTATTTTCACCCTTTCACACTTTCAGACAATTTTACCCCTTTAAATTCAGTCATAGTTTTATTTTTTATAAAATTATACTGTATTCTTTGAATTCGTCCTATATTAAAATTGCCCAATTGAGGGTTGGTGAGATGGCGGAATTAAAATGGGGCAAAAATGTCCCTGTATACAGTAAATTAGAGAAAATTTAATCAAGAAATTCATTTAATTTGTTTCTGAAAATATTATGATATTACTAAATTCAATTTATTGTATAATGTGAACAAAGTGATTAAAGTGAAAAAGAATAATGATCTGAATATTGTATATCACAGGGACCTATGGGGGATTCTGAGTATATTGCAGCCTTCCAACAAGTGGTCATGCCAATAGCTTATGAGGTAGGAATCTACATAGGATCAATGTCAGAAATGTGATGGTGGAAATCTATAGATGTCCCTTAAAAATACATGACTGTATACAAACATGAGAGAAAAATATTTCATACTGACAACATATCATATCCCTTTCCTTTATTCAGTTTTATTTATATATCTTGTAATCTATACTTGTATAAGGTCTTTTACAGTGATACTTTTCTTGCAGTTTGGTCCGGAGCTGGTTCTGGTATCGGCTGGATTTGATGCCGCTATGGGAGATCCTCTGGTACTACTTTTCTCTTAATATACCCCAGCTTCCTTTTGAAGAAAGGAGTTAGGGGTTATTGTACATGGCAGGAGCCGTTCTTGTTATCATAACTGCAACCAAAAATGACAATTGATGTATTCACAAAATTAAAGAAAATAGAACTAAATTATAAATTTCTTTTGATGTTTGATGCCATTAAATCTTTTCAGGCTTATGATTTTAATTGTGTCAGGAATTTTAAGTAGGGTAAAACCTTGACTACTCCAGTTAGTGACTTAATATTAGATCCAACAGAATGTCAAATAGAAAGCCTCTTGCCAGGTCAAGGTTAAAGTCTAGTTTAAAGGTCATCTTAGACTTTCATTGTTTTGGCAGTGCACAAACAGGTCTTTTTATTCTTGAGTGTAAGAATATTCCATATATGCTTTTATTATATAAATCTGTGTAGTTTAAAAATATGTATATATTAGAATAAAAAGAAGCTCTTTAAATTTCCATCATTCACTTTTCATGAATAATGACATACAAACATTCTAGGGATGTTACTCACTAACGCCGGCTGGATATGGTCACATGACCCACATGCTGTCATCACTAGCCAATGGAAAAGTAGTCCTTGTGTTAGAAGTGAGTACATTTTAAAACTGTACATGTATACTTAAAAAGTTAATAAACATGATGAACAGCAATATGAAGATGGACAATTATACTTTGATATACCAGTAAATTCACACAGGTGTGTTCATAATGCAGTTGAACTTAGGTATCTCTAACACATATATCAAATATCCTAGACACAGCAAAATGATTTGGAAAACCAAACTACTTATTCTTTACATACATGCCAACTTTCCCGATTTAGGCGGGATTCTCCCGATTTTGCCATGCCATCCCGCTATCCCGATCGTGAAAGCAAAATTACCCCTAAATCCCGATTTGGCCATTTTTCGACCAAAATATCCGATTTTCCGACTTGACCCGAGTTTGAAATCGGGACAATCGTGAAATCTCGTTAAACTCTCGTAGTATTAACCAATGAAATTCCCCGAATTCGTCACGCTTAGGTCGCGTGTAATTTACCTATCGAGGATACCTACCTGTGTGTACTGTGACGATTACTCAGTCAATTATGAGCATGTATCATGTTTTGATAACAATTAATGCTATTCTGGGGTATGGTGGAGATCAATCGGGAATCTCGCATATCGATTCACCATGGGTGCAACTCCACCACGAAAAAAGAGTAGATTAGGATCGAAATACCTGAAAAAATGGGAGGCTGACGCAAGATTCACCGGATGGTTGGCGAAGTCAAAACAAGGCATACTGCAGAGTGTGCAACAGAGACTTCAAGATTGACCATGGTGGACTGAATGACGTGACAAAGCGTATGAACACTGCCCTGCACCAAAATACTTTGAAGTCGCAGAATTCGACACCGTCTGCCATAAACTTCTTCACCAGTTCAAAACTCGACCAAGATGAGGGTAAGTTGACAGATATATTATCTCTGTGATAATGAACAATTTACATGCATTAACTTTGAATTAATTTTATATTTTAAAATAAATCTAAATTCTTTGTTCAATGTTGTAGATGTGATACGTGCCGAGGTTTTGTTGCCAATTTTGTGGCACAGCATAACCTCCCGTTTCTTGTCGCAGACTGCTTTACCAAGCTTTGTAAAACGATGTTCCCTGACAGCAGAATTGCATCCAAATTCTCATGCGGGAGGACTAAAACCACCCAAATAGTCAAGCAATCACTTGCGCCAAAGCTACACCAGGAAATTGTCCAGCAACTGCAGACCAGCCCTTTTTCGTTGTCAGTCGATGAGAGCAATGACAGGAATTGCGACAAGAGCTTAGCTATCCTTGTCAGATATTTTACTGACCAGTCCCATACAAGGTTCCTCGCCATGCCTGTGTGTAATATTGGGAATGCCAACAACATTTTTGATCACATACAGCAGGTTTTTGTGTACGTTTCAATATTAAATCATAATTTGTTAATATAATGTTTTATTATTTATAATATATATTATTTATAATTTTTATAGTTGTAGTGACAATTTTAATAGTAATAACTACATGATGTTTTTTTAGTTTGTAACATTTTATTTATTTGAATTATAATAGTAGCTATTTTAATAACCAGATTTTAACAATGCAATATTGTTTTCATTATGCATCATGTGCCACTGTATTTTTCTTAAATTTTTTATTAAATTGTTGAAACTGTACAAGGTACTAGTAATAACTACATGTACATGATGTTCTTTTAGTTTGTAACATTTTATTTGCTTGAATTATAATAGTAGCTATTTAGTAACCAGATTTTAACAATGCAATATTGTTTTCATGTTTCATGTGCCACTGTATTTTTCTTAAATTTGTTATTAAATTGTTGAAACTATACATTGTTTTGGTTGCTGAATCAGATTCAGACTTATGTTGGTAGGTGCATTGAATGATATGAAAGAAATCAGAAGAAAAATGTTCAAATGAGGAACATGTATTATGTATTATAAATAATGATATAGATATCAGTGAAAACACAATTAGATTCAGGTTCACGACTAAATGTCGCGAATTTAAAGCTTTGAAAATTGTCGTCACGCGCAAAATCCCCCATGGGAATTTTCAAAAGTTGGCATGTATGTTCTTTATGAATTTTACCATCAATATCTTGAATTCTCAGATACCTTGATTTTTATTGTTGACCCATTGATCATGCGAGTTCATGATAAAAAGGCTTGACTGTTCATCTTACACTTTCAAGATTATGTGTTTGTTGTACTTTAAGATTTTGCTTTATCTTTGCCAAAAGTATCAAATGGAATTAATATTTTTCTTACAAAATTACTGTCTTGACAAAAATTAAATTATTTTGTAGGGAGGGTATCACCTGGCAGCCATATCTAATTCCATGGCCATGTGTACATCTATCTTACTGGGAGATGGCTGTCCTCACCTCCCCTATGTCAAGACTAAGGACAGGTAAGAATTACCTCATCAACCATATCTAAAGACAGGTAAGATATATCTCATCACCTGAGAACATAAAGACAGGTAACATATATCTCATCACCTGTACAGAAAGACAGGTAAAATATATCTCATCACCTGTACATAAAGATAGGTAAAATATATCTCATCACCTGTACATAAAGATAGGTAAAATATATCTCATCACCTGTACATAAAGACAGGTAAAATATATCTCATCACCTGTACATAAGGGGACGACCATTTGATACCTGAGGGGGGGGGGGGGGGCCGGGCAAATATTTTTGAGACGGATTATTTATTTTCATGCCTGTCGAGGACAGATTATTTATTTTCAAGATTATCAAGAACAGATTATTTATTTTCTTCTATGTCTTACCGTACCTTGATCAATTGATTCTAAAATACTTTATCATTTATATACCATATTCGGATACAGGGTTTGGGGAGGGGACAGATATAACTTTGTTTAGGCAAGAGGTCTGGGGCCTCCGTAAGGGCCCCAGTGGGTCCTGGACGAAGCCCTGGTGGAGGCCAAGGGAGTACACCCCCCTACCCCCGAAGTTCTTGGGGTTTCGTGTATTTTAACATTAAAACCAGGCACTATTATAGTGGTATTGGTTATTATGAACCAAAGTATGACATAATTAATACTGGTCATACCGTACTTTGAATGAAGTAAGTTCAGGGAGCAAAGCTACCTGAAGCTCTTAGGTTTTTCAATATGTATAAGAGTAAAATTTTTGTAGGAATTGGTTAGATGTGTACCAAAGTATGACATTATTAAGTCATATCATACTTTGAATGAAAAGGGCCTAGGGGGCGAAGCCCCCTGGAACTCTTGGGTTTTTGTGTATTTTAAGAGTAAAACTAGGCACAAAAATATTGGTATTGTCCCAAAGTATGGCATTATTATTATTATTCGTATCATATACTTTGAAATTTTAAGGGAGGGCCTGGGGTCGTACACATGTACGTCCCCCTTAAATCTGCCAGTGTATATTTTGTATTAATTTATCTGGAAAGTATAATTATTCGACAACAAAATTTATCTTTTGTGGTGCATAAGAATTGGTTTGTATTTAAAGTTATTCATCACACCTACTAAGTGCACATTGTCATGTTGATAAACTGACTTAAGTATCCAGTCTGGTAATCTGATTTTAAATACTATTTGGTTCTAAAATGGCGAGCGAAGCGAGCCAAAAAAATTTTGAATTGAAGACTTTTGAGATTAATTTACACGTGAATAAAAAAGGTATTTTTACAATATTTAATTATCAGAAGTCATGGTCAGATTATTTATTTTCTCTGTGGTGGAGGACAGATTATTTATTTTCAACATTTTCAGGGACAGATTATTTATTTCCAAAATCTGCCAGGCCCCCCCCCTCAGAATCAAATGGTCGTCCCCGAAAGATAGGTAAAATATATCTCATGACCTGTACATAAAAACAGGTAAAATATATCTCATGACCTGTACATAAAGACAGGTAAAATATATCTCATCACCTGTACATAAAGACAGTAAGATATTTTATGTTATGTAAAGACAAGTAAGAAAAATCTTACTTGACAGGGACATGTTAGATTAGCTTTATATAAAGGCAGTAAAGATATGGTACCTGTAAAGTGGGAAACGAAATAGAAATGAAATGAAATGAAATCTGCCGTAGGTTTCGTTTCCTCTTGATTTCGTTCGGTAGGTTTCGTTTCGGTAGATTTCATTTCGTTTCAGCAGATTTCGTTTTGGTTCGTTTCGTTTCATTTCTATTTCGTTTTGCACTTTACAGGTACACAGTAAAGACATTTCACAAATCCAATACTTTTTAAAAATTTCATTTTGGAGCATCAGTCCCACAATACAGCTAATCCATTTCTATTCACCTGTTCTTTCAGGAAAACAAGTCACTAATCTCCTAAATTTTCTTATCCTTATTATGCTTATAGTCTTAAACAAGGAAATAGTTTCAATTGCTCATATAAAAAAGTTCCCTTAAATTGAAACAGTCAATTTGGTTTTAAAGGAGGAATTTATTAGGAATATCAATTATTTCACTATGCTGTGAGGACTGCGAAGTGTCACATATTGTGATTAAGAGTTGTATTTCCTTGAGAGTCCGACTTACTATGTCCATTAATTGTGTTAAAGACGCTTTTCTGATGTGATTGAAAAATGTATATTTTGTTAAAACATGCATAAAATTAAATTTTTATCATTATTGTTTTCAACAATAAATACAGAACGATTGATTTTTAAGTTGTATAACTTTTATTTCAGTGCTGTGAAATGTATACAAGATGTTTTAGATGTACAGAAGCAGTACTGGAAATCACTGAAATTCAGAGGTACTTTTTGTCAGCCACCAATGAATAATACTCATTCACATTGTATTCATTAAAATGCATATAAAATTGAAGCATGTCAAAGTCTACATAATGTGAGAATTATTCTATTTGTAGTAAATATAAAAACAGAAAAGAAGGAAAACACAGAAAAAGCTGAACAGGAAGAAATGTGAGTACAATTTGTTTTTGAATCATTACGTCAGGTTTTCCTGTTTGAACCATTTTATGAAGACATTAAATTGCCTGTCAGTGGACGTTTATGGGTGAGGGGGTGATTACTGTATTCCCAGCATGAAGTGGGAGGCAATACACTGATATCTGGCAGTGTTCTTATAATGAGTAAAGACTTGAGTTTGTATGAGGACAAAGGGTGACTAATTTATCTTCTTCTGCACATTTACAAATTCTCCTTTTAAACTAATAATGCAGCAGCTATGTATTGAATGTGGGTGTTCAAATATTTCAAAAACAGTTTATGTAAAATATCAAACGATTTTTATTGAATATATATACCATCAATAATGTTATTGATTTTACACAGAATTTCATGATTTCAGTCAACTGAATCTTAATGTTTGAAATCTAAGGCCTGTGTAATTGTGTTATTACTAGCGATGAGACATTTGGTCTTACTGCATGCATCAGTACAATTCAGAGAAAGAACATGTATTTCTCAGAACATTTACAATTCCATTTATAGGCCTTTATACTTTTATAAAAATAATAAATGTCATTTCTAGTCATTTATTACTTGGAATACTTAAAAGGGAAAAAAGAGTTAATTATTGAGAATGCCTCCAAGAAAGTTTATATTGTAATCTTACGATATCAGAAATGACTGTTTTATCTGATTTAAATCAATTTGGAAGTTGACGAGAAGTATTTTATGACTGCTACCAGCACTATAGTGGATGAATCTTTTCATCATTTGTAAATCACTTAATATCTGTATTGAGACGTTTATAGTAAATAGTTTAAGTAAACAATGGTAATGTCTGAAGAAGCAGGCTTGATACTGGAAATCTGTCATGTTCTGGGCTTTGAAGACGTCAAGAGATTTTGTCAATCACATATTTTCTGAGTCAATTGGTCATTTATCCTCTTTCCAGGAGAAACAGCGAAATCATAAAAAACCTTGTGTTCTTATGTTGTTTATGAGTTTTAATAGTGCAGATGAAGAGAAGTAGTCTAATAAAAGGATGTCTGGAAGGAAGAAACACTAGTTATTGAATCAGCATGATTTTGTGACTTTGACAGATTTTTGCCACTTTAGCTGGAAGACAAATTATGTTGTAAATTAGTAAAAATTGTTGTTTATTTCATACTGTACGTGTAAGACAGACAAGCATTCAGTCTATGTCTCTCAGCCAAAAAGTGGATATTCTTGTCATTGTGCTGATCGAGTCTAATTAGCTAGACTTACCAGAATTCTTTTGGTTAAGTGCAACTGAATAATCTTTGTCACACCTTGTTATCTCAGAAGAGAGGCGATAGAGGACAAGTAAGCAAAGAACTCTAGTGCAGGCTGGCTCCCAGCATTGTAACTTCAAAATGATTCTGTGAAAGGTGTTTCTTTGAAAATTACATTTCCAAAAAATATTTAAAGGATATCAATGACTTAGAAATAGCAATATCATCACATTGTTCTACCGTATTTAAGAACTGATTGATTTAGAAGATGAAATTTATCCCTTTCATTTATATAAGGCTATCTATTTCGAATTCCTTATTCAGGTATAATGAATTATAGATATAGCAAAGTAATTTCATGGGTCCCAGTGATTTTGTTATAACCGAACTTTACTGTATCATCCTCCAATGCAGGAGAAATAAAAATAACAACTGTCTAGATAAAGTAGGGAATATTAAGCTTAATGGTCAGTTAGAGATATTCAAAAGATAAAATTATGACATCTCTCAATTTTGAAACACTTGGAATATATTTTTATTAGTCCTCCTTCCATATGCACTGGTACAGGGGAAAATAAAAATAACAATTTTTTTAACCCTTGGGGTATAATCAGGATTATATCTCTCAACACATGGAACATATATTTATCAGTCCTTTTAGGATAATGAAAAATAATATTATGATTCTCTTCAAATAGTAAAAGTGAATTATGCAAAGTTGTACGATGAAAATATTAATAAATCAGTAAAAGTGGCTTAAGAACTTCCAATGTCATAAAGAGGTAAATGTGGAAAAGATCTAACCCTGAGTGAGCCTTGTTTAGATTGATCTCATCATTATAGCTATTGAGGAGTGCAGTGAAGTTTGGAGGTCTTGAGTATGTTGTGTTGAGTATGGATTATCTGCAACATGTTCATACATTAGAACTAATGCGTTTAAAATCCCCGGAAACTGGTACTTCTATAAATCAATAAGGGAAAGTTTTCTGCCCCACACATACATATGGTAGAGTTGGACAACTTCTGGCTAAATGAGGAAACGATGTCCCTAATAACCTGATTAGTATTCCTGGAAGTCTTGAATTGTTAAATGAGAGTCAGTGACTATTAGTCCTGAGGATGATGATATTACGTTAATGAACTGTATACGAGTAACCAGTCATTCAAATATTCATGATCTGAGAGTAATGGTCACAATGCCAAAGATGGTAGCTCCTCTGACCGTCAAATACTCCTGATAAATTGAATTGGAATCCTAACTTAAAAAGTATTTTTCTTAAGGTAGTCCGATCCTCTGGTTTATAAAATTCGCACTTAAGTAATCAAAAATACTCATAAAAGTATGTATCTCTGAATTAATCCACAAAGTTATGTAAATTTATCCACAGTATTTCTTTAAAGTTAAAGATTAAAGTTAATCATATTATTTAAGGAAAATTGTCAAATCTCCAATATTTTTGCAGAAAAAGCGAATTGGAATATCAGCAATGCATTTTCTAATTGCAGATTGGTCAACAAATATATTTTAGGCTAAAAAATGATAGGTATCCAGGCAATCAGAGAAATTGTCATGATTTTCATACTTATTTGTTATTTTTTGTCTTCTATTTCCATCATGTATTCTACAATACATAGTGTAAAATGCTTTTTCTATCATATGTAATTGCAAGATACCATAAATCACTTTTCATTTCATATCATGCTAATAAGCATTGGTATCTAAGGCTGGATTCAAGAAAATCTTATGTCTCTAAAACTGTATAGTTTTTGCTCCTTTTAAAGGGTACGAATGTCAACTTTTATAAGACCTTTTCCAAGACTTCCAAAGACCTTGATCTTATAAAGATGAATAAAATGAAAATTGTTGCATGAAAAAATTTCATTTTCAAGCTTCATTTTGATGCATTTCAAATTAAATATTAATTTTTGGAGTTATCCTTCCTGGCTGAGGATCAGATATCCTTAAGAATTATGAACTTATTTTTTGAAATCCCAAAGCTAGAAAAAAATTGATCATTTGAAAATTATCATTTGAAAATTGATCAATTTAATTTTCCATTCCTATTCTCATCTTTATTATGATTTTTAAGCTCAGCAAGGAAAAACATGTCATTTTGAAAAATTTCCTCCAATTTCTTGCTGTTTTAGATTGCTCTTGGTTTAATTATCTCATTAGTGTTATTATCAACACTTTGTATTAATGCTGTACTTTGTGAACAAAATAATGCATTATATTTTATTCATATTTGTAGTATTGCTTGCAAAATGCAAGTTATGTTAATTATCAAGTTTTATTCATTTTTTATTCTGAAATATTGAGACAGAACTTCCTTGAATTTCAGCTCTTGTGTTACAGGTTTTCTAGAATATTTTTCAGAACTTCAGTATAATGTATGTAATACACAATCATAATCTCTGATAAGGCTTTAACTTGACGATGTTAGTTTTCGGTGCTGAAAATTAGTTATCGGTGCTAAAAATCTGAGGGTAGTGCCTCCATTCCTATGTCAGTCTGAATTAAGATGCTTTCTATCAATCAAGTTCTATGATTTTATGTGAATTCATTTACATGTTTGCTTACCGAGGCCAAAAGGTTAAGTTTTCGTACATCACTTCGGTATGAAATATTTTATTAAGTCTGTCAATCACCAGCCAGCTTATTTACAGCTTCATCTAATTCTCATGGACACAGCTTTATTTACAAGAAGTGTGCACTATATCAGTTTTTACATCTTACCACTGACTTCCAGTTATTTACGTCATTTAATCAAGCTGATGAAATGTCTTGAAAGGACATTAAGAAGTAAAATCTTTAAAAAAATTAAATTGATCCTTCAGCTGTGTTTCTAAAAAAACTTTTTTTATATTTACAAGATATGGATTCCTAAAATTGCTGCATATTAGATTTATTGATAGTGACATTGATCGAGTATTGATGTTAGTATTGGTTGCAGGTATAAGGTTTTTACAATTAAACAAGACTATAGAAAACATCCTTAAATTAATATCACTTAAACACCCCATTATTTTTATTTATTTCCCCATTGGGTTTAAAATGTATCATGAATTTAATATATATAACAAATTAATTTTTGAATTATTAAATCAAAATTGTTCATCCCTGGTACTTCGCTGTAAGTTTGTTTTACTGATGTAATAAATACAAATTTCTAGATGTAACTCAGTCCTAACTGTCTCAATGGTTTGCAGTAATATGTTTTGATCCCCATAGTGCAAGATGAAATTATCTCTTTTTTTCAAATTACACAAAGAGAATTATCAATGACCCATTAGTTTAAATGCATTTTGTTAGTTATAATCCCACTTCTAAGATGTAACGCATCCCTTTCCTTTATACATATTTAATCCCCATATCACCTATTCTAAGAGATTTGCATCTTAATTGGCTTCGGCAATTTATATGCATCATCAAAGATTGATTATATGCATTATATATTGATTGCATTCTAGAAAAACAGAGAGGGAAGAGATAGAATCCACAATGGTATGATTAAAACTAGAAATTGTAGTTATTCAGTGCTCTGTACTGTGAAGCCATGAATACAAATTACCTGCTACTTTGACACTGCAGTATGGCTGGATGTGTGGGTTTGTAGAGTGGGGTCTATTCTGACATAATTGTTTGGTTAAGAAAAGAAGAAATTCTACCTTGGGACTGGTGTCTGTCTTCCATCCATTCCTATGTCTGTATTTGTGTAGAAACATTTTTTTCAAATGATAGTTCCAGCTCCTGTAGTG